ATCGCCAGCACCAGTAAGTGCAGCGGTGACAGACACCTCCATCAAGCATCGGGCGACGAGTGGTACGTGGTACGTCTTTCCTGATACCTGGTACGTCTTTCCTGCCCCCCTCCACGACGCACCCGTCCCTCGTCACCACGCACCACAGCAAGTAGGGACAGTCACCTCTAAGGACATGTGTAGCGACACTCGTCGGTCCACTCCGCGTGAAGAAGCAGTATTCAAAGGAACACGATAGAGATTTGTGCATATTTAACTGTGTCCTTTGACATAGAGGATAATTTTTGTCTATGATTATTGGTGCATCATTTCCCAGACGACTAGCAAGGGCCAGCGATATTTATATCGATTTATATAGTTTGTGATTTTTAAGCATTTACCAAATGATGTGAGCCGCATTAATTTTGATCTAGAGTTTTTGTTCGTTCATTTCTTTTGTGACACTTTATTTATTAATTATATATTAAATCACACTTCAAATGATGAGTTATAAGTAGTTACTTGACACCGTTGGGTCATTCCTAAAGGAGGAGCAGGACTTGTGTACACCTCTGCGTATTCATGAGACAACGGAGGAGGTCCTGGAGTTGTGTGTGACAGTTCCGGATATAAGGCCGATTGTCCAGAACATCTGTGAGGTCCTGCAGGGCCACTTTCAGCATGGTGCCATGGTCATGGTGCCTGAGTATGCCTTTAAGAAGCATGGGCGGTATCCTAGCCTCTCATATTTATGCGTGAGTGGTTGCACTCAGCGCGAAGCGGGTGTGTGCAGTGTACGGTGAGGACTCGTAGGTGTGTCTGTGAGCTCATCTGCCCTGAATGAAGAGTTGTAGGCGGCCTGCTGAGGAAGATGACGCCCTGTGAAGGCGAGATGCCGGCTCAGTGTGAAACAGGTGGTTGATGAGATCAGTCAGATGAGCTTCTCGCTCTATCTCACCTCCCCTGGTGATGCTGGGGGACTCCTCCCCTGGTGATGCTGGGGGGGCACCTCCCCTGGTGATGCTGGGGGGGGGGGCACCTCCCCTGGTGATGCTGGGGGGGACACCTCACCTGGTGATGCTGGGGGGACACCTCCCCTGGTGAAGCTGGGGGGGGTGAACACCTCCCCTGGTGATGCTGGGGGGGGACACCTCCCCTGGTGAAGCTGGGGGGACATCTCCTCTGGTGATGCTGGGGGGGACACCTCCCCTGGTGATGCTGGGGGGGACACCTCCCCTGGTGATGCTGGGGGGGACACCTCCCCTGGTGAAGCTGGGGGGACATCTCCCCTGGTGATGCTGGGGGGGGACACCTCCCCTGGTGATGCTCCAACGCCCCACCCCCTACCCCCCAACAACCACCACATAACTACTGTACCACTGGGTCAAGAGGGGCACCCAGGTGAAAGGATATACCTGCCAAATCGTTTCTGTCGTACCCGGGAATTGAACCTTTGGTTGGGAGCCAGTAGGCCAGCGTGCCGCCGTGTTGTGTGGGTGCTGGGAACACTGCCAGCCACCAAACTACCTCAACATTCACTTTTCAATCCACTTTCGTGATTTTGTTTCGGGAGTATAAGTGACGCTCTGATGTTTACCTTTTTATTTATACAGTGTTGATTGTGGTATGAAGTGTCTGAGTGTGTAGTTTGAAGTGCCTGAGTGTGTGTAGTTTGGAGTGCCTGAGTGTGTAGTTTGGAGTGCCTGAGTGTGTAGTTTGAATTGCCTGAGTGTGTAGTTTGGAGTGCCTGAGTGTGTAGTTTGGAGTGCCTGAATACGTAGTTTGGAGTGTGTATAGTTTAGAGTGCCCGAGAATTTATCTTAACTTACAAAGCATCACCTCTCCATAAGGGTGTCTCCCTCAGAAACACTGTATGCACACTTTAACACCTGATAACTCATTTGATGTTTCGTGCTTTTCAGATTGAATTTTCAGCAAGAAAATGTAAGATCACACAACCGTGAACTTACAAGATCACGGTAGCAAGAATCATGATGTAAGATTACACTACCATCTTGATTTAAGTTCACCCTACCATCGTATTGTAAGATCACCCTACCACCGTGTTGTAAGATCACCCTACCACCATGTTGTAAGATCACCCTACCACCATGTTGTAAGATCACCCTACCACCGTGTTGTAAGATCACCCTACCACCATGTTGTAAGATCACCCTACCACCATGTTGTAAGATCACCCTACCACCATGTTGTAAGACCACACTACCACCATGTTGTAAGATCACCCTACCACCGTGTTGTAAGATCACCCTACCACCGTGTTGTAAGATCACCCTACCACCATGTTGTAAGATCACCCTACCACCATGTTGTAAGATCACCCTACCACCGTGTTGTAAGATCACCCTACCACCGTGTTGTAAGATCACCCTACCACCATGTTGTAAGACCACACTACCACCATGTTGTAAGATCACCCTACCACCGTGTTGTAAGATCACACTACCACCGTAATGTAAGATCACCCTACCACCATGTTGTAAGATCACACTACCTCCGTGTTGTAAGATCACCCTACCACCGTGTTGTAAGATCACACTACCACCATGATGTAAGATCACACTACCACCATGTTGTAAGATCACCCTACCACCGTGTTGTAAGATCACACTACCACCGTAATGTAAGATCACCCTACCACCGTGTTGTAAGATCACACTACCACCATGTTGTAAGATCACCCTACCACCGTGTTGTAAGATCACACTACCACCATGATGTAAGATCACCCTACCACCATGTTGTAAGATCACACTACCACCGTAATGTAAGATCACCCTACCACCGTGTTGTAAGATCACACTACCACCATGTTGTAAGATCACCCTACCACCATGTTGTAAGATCACACTACCACCGTAATGTAAGATCACACTACCACCGTAATGTAAGATCACCCTACCATGCTAAGAGCTTGCCACACAGGTGGACAGGATGAAGGGGTTTCGTAGCCACACCCTCCTCCTAATTCACCTCACACACCTCTACACAGGTTTTTGTGAAGACACTTATAAAACGATAAAGTCTATAAACCGTGTAAAGTGTATAATAAAGTGTGTATAATTTTTGTACTTGCAAAACTTGTACTTGTCACTGAACTGAGAGGAGCCATTGAACACCAAATGCTCTCAAAATACCAAACGAAATATTCGTTAATTTTTTAGACTCCTCCGCTCAGCGTTACCAGCAGCGTCCGTTACCAGGACGGGTAGCTGTTTGAGGCGTTACCAAAACAAACAAACAATAACTGTATATTCCATTACATTTTGAAAATTAAATGTAATTTAATAAACATTGGTTTTATAATTATTCAAGAGTGTGTGTATATACATTTTTTGGGGGACTGATTTATAGAATTTCAAGGATTTTTTTTTTAATTTAAATGCGATATGTGTCGTGTTGATCCCAGGTAAGTAGCATAGCTCAGAGGTGTGTAGTGTAGCTGCCAGGTGTGTAGTGTAGCTGCCAGGTGTGTAGTGTAGTTCCCAGGTGTGTAGTGTAGCTGCCAGGTGTGTAGTGTAGCTGCCAGGTGTGTAGCGTAGCTGCCAGGTGTGTAGCGTAGCTGCCAGGTGTGTAGTGTAGCTGCCATGTGTGTAGTGTTGTTCCTAGGTGTGTAGTGTAGTTCCCAGGTGTGTAGTGTAGTTCCCAGGTGTGTAGTGTAGTTCCCAGGTGTGTAGTGTAGTTCCCAGGTGTGTAGTGTAGTTCCCAGGTGTGTAGTGTAGTTCCCAGGTGTGTAGTGTAGTTCCCAGGTGTGCAGTGTAGTTCCCAGGTGTGTAGTGTAGTTCCCAGGTGTGTAGTGTAGTTCCCAGGTGTGTAGTGTAGCTGCCAGGTATGTAGTGTAGTTCCCAGGTGTGTAGTGTAGCTGCCAGGTATGTAGTGTAGTTCCTAGGTGTGTAGTGTAGCTGCCAGGTGTGTAGTGTAGCTCACAGGTGTGTAGTGTAGCTGTCAGGTGTGTAGTGTAGCTGCCAGGTGTTTAGTGTAGCTCACTGGTGTGTAGTGTAGCTGCCAGGTGTGTAGTGTAGCTCACAGGTGTTTAGTGTAGCTCACAGGTGTGTAGTGTAGTTGCCTGGTGTGTAGTGTAGCTGCCAGGTGTGTAGTGTAGTTGCCAGGTATCTAGTGTAGTTGCCAGGTGTGTAGTGTAGCTGCCAGGTGTGTAGTGTAGCTGCCAGGTGTGTAGTGTAGCATCCAGGTGTGTAGTGTATCACCCAGGTGTGTAGTGTAGCTCACAGGTGTGTAGTGTAGCACCCAGGTGTGTTGTGTATCACCCAGGTGTGTAGTGTAGCTGCCAGGTGTGTAGTGTAGCTGCCAGGTGTGTAGTGTAGCTGCCAGGTGTGTAGTGTAGTTCCCATGTGTGTAGTGTATCTGCCAGGTGTGTAGTGTAGCTCACAGGTTTGTAGTGTAGCTGCCAGGTATGTAGTGTAGTTCCCAGGTGTGTAGTGTAGCTGTCAGGTGTGTAGTGTAGCTCACAGGTGTGTAATATAGTTCCCAGGTGTGTAGTGTATCACTCAGGTGTGTAGTGCAGCTCACAGGAGTGTGGTTTTGTTCCGAAGAATGTGATGTAGATAACAGGTCTATAGTGTAGTGTAGCACCCAGGTGTGTAGTGTAGCACCCAGGTGTGTAGTGTAGCACCCAGGTGTGTAGTGTAGCCCCCAGGTGTGTAGTTCAGTCCCAAGAGAGCAGTGTAGCGCCAAATGTAGTATAACTCACATGTTACGCTACACACCTTAGGGCTTACAGGTGTGTAATGCATCTCGCAGGTGTGTGTGCGACGAGCGCATCTGGCAGGTGTGTGCGACGAGTGTAATAAGACACCGCACAATCCTCGCAGCATCACAACACATTAATGAGTTGATCTCGTGGGATGCTGAGCCAACCAGCCGGGCGGCCGGAGATGGACCATCCGGCACGGCAGGTGGCGTCGGAGGCCAGCTGGTGGGCGCGAGGCCCAGCTGGTGCCGGTGGGAGTGCCAAGGGGGGCACATGTGGAGTAACAACTTACCAAATGTCATCATAAAGTCTCCATACGGACTGTCTGGAGGAGTAGCCATGGCGGTGGTGGTGGTGGTGGAGTGGTGGTGGTGGTTGGTGGAGCTGGCGGAGGCTGGAGAGGGAGGTGTAGAGGCGCCCCGGTGCTGGAGTGGGTGTAGAGGGGAAAGGGAGAGGAGAGAGAGGAGAGATTGAGCACTAATGGTTGGGAGACATCCGGGAGGGAGGGGGGGTGTGAGAGCGAGCGCGGCACACACACACACACTGCACACGCCTGCCTGCAGCACACTGCCCGCCCCGCGCCGCCTCTCTCCCTCCCTCTCTCACTCTCTCTCACTCTCTCTCACCTCTCACCCGCGTCTCCTCCACCACCTCCTCCTCCTCCTCCAACACGCGCCTCCACCACATTATCCCAACTACAAGGCGGCACTCACAGTGGGTACGGTGAGTGCCAGTGCCACTACCAGCCTAGAATCCGTGAGTACCGTCATCAAACAGTACCAGTACCTCGCTATGGTACTACCAGCACCTTGGTGGTCCTGCTCCCACTCTCCCAGGATTTTTTTTCATGAACCTAGATGATAAGAGGTCTGGAGGTGGAGAGCTGAAGGCGGAGGCCCAAAGGAGGAGAGCTGAAGGTGGAGGCCTGGAGGCGAAGGCCTGGAGATGGAGGCCTGGAAGAGGAGCCTTGGAGGTGGAGACCGAGAGATGGAGGGCTGGCATCGCAGCCCTGGAGGTGCAGGTCTGGAGGTGAACGCCTGGAGGTGGAGGGTTGGATGCCACTGTAAGAACACAACGTATAAACCTGCTGACTGATGGCCCGTCACCTGCCCTGAGGATTATGTAATTATCGCGCTCCACTTCGTAGCTTCCTGGAAGGCCGCCACCGGAAACCACCGCCGCTGCTCTCTCACGAGTTGCAGCGTGCGTAACTGTTCTCGCTTCTGGGGCATGTTGCAAGGCATAGTTGATGCCCATTATGAGGGAAACATTGTTTGCAAGTCACTTAAAAGTGTGTAGCTTTTGTTCTTTTCCAATTAACTCTGCTATTCTAATTTTAGTCTTAGAGACTCTACTTTTAACTGGATTCACTATGAGAAACGTGTTCCGTTCGTGATTATTAAAGCAATTAATCCCTAAATTGCCTGACATTTAGTAATCACCTCACAATCCCTCGAATAAAATTAACTGCCTAAGTAATTACTGTGATCCACGACATAGTGCAACAAAGGACTACTATTTAACATTTTAAATTTATTCACTTGCTTACATAAAGTACTTTCAGTTGGAAACTTTATTTTCCACCAGGTCTACTTTTTACCTTTTATTTAAAAGGACAAAGTATTAAAAAAGTAAAATAAACCAAAACCTGGCTGATACCACACACAATACCCAGAACCTGGGACGATGAACATACACAATTAAACAGTATTCCACAAGTATGATATTTATGAAACAATATTTCACAAGTAATAATGCACTCAACACAATAATATAACACAAACTGTAAACAAGACACAATGAGTGCAGAACTGTCCACACACGTACAGTCCCCCAGGTACACAACCACAAACCATAAAGGTAATATTACAATACAACAACATTATTGTAACAAGTGGCCGCATACAGGACAGGTGCACACAGCCGGTGGTGGTGCCACACACAACACACACTAAGGTACTAAGGAGACATCCATACACAAGACCTCAAAATTAATAAAATCTCTCAAGCTATCGGATGTACCCAATCGTACATACAGACACACGTACTGTATGTACGAGACTCATACTGTATGTACATACAAAGACTCATACAACACTCGTACAAACATGTTGTTTAATATATTTATTATTTACATATTACACAGTAAGTGCATGATAAAAATGAACCCACGTTCCAGCAGGTAGTACACTCTGACATAACACTTCGAACACCGAGAAAACAGATAAACACAAGTGAATATACAGCATAATCTGCCCGCCGCCGGAAACATGGTCGCCAAAGCACACATAAACCAGGATATTTCACATATACATTGTTTACCTGTAAACAACCAGTACCCGGGGGAAAAAACGGGGAACACAACATTGGAAAAAAATTATTGAAAGGAAACCATCAAACAAACCAGAAACAGAACCATACACATCCGTATGTTTCCCAGTCACATTACCACTCTACACGGAAATACAGTTAGAAACACATTAAACAAAATAGCATTACGAATGGAAATTCCCACAAAAGCAGTCATGTTTAGTGCTGTCTCTGCCGACAAAAATACACAATAGTTAAGAACTCATTCATCCATATACAATCATTACAACACTGACAAAAAAAAACAGTGGAAACCAGTCTATAAACCCAACGAAGCGAAAAGCAAACCTACAGGAAGAATTCTCATGCAACAAAATATAGAAACAACCAACCTACACAATACACTCAAAACAATGGAAAATTACCGCCCCACCAGGAAGCAATGAATGAAGTATATAGCTAATCCGCAGAACAAAAAAAAATAATATGCGTTATCCCCAATTCACATAATTGTTAGTAAAACGATCCATAAAGCCCTCCCCAAGCAGCCAACGTAACCCCCAAATTGAGTAACTTAACCGACCCTCCAAAATTCCCAGCATTCTATCCACAGTATACCCCCCCCCCCTTTCGCCTCCCAACTCCCCACACAAAAAAGACAGAATTACAAAACTTCCTACAAGGAGTCTGAAAATCAAACATCAATAAACGTAAAGAATCAATACAAAACGCCGACCTGCAGAAACGCACAATGGTGCGTGTCAACCAATCCACCTACCTCGCCCCAACTGTGCACAAATAAAGCACATGAAATGCAGTCTCCACCCACCACAAAGGTCACACTTGTCAGTATCCTTAATCCCCAATATCAGGAGCCGCTCGTTAGTCAGCAACGTCTCCTGTAATTACCTGTACAGGAATTTTCGCTGCAATAGAGCTAGAAACTGCAAACGGATCCTTCGCCACACCTCCATCCCATCAAAATTTGGGAAAGCTCTCTCCACTTTAGGGGCGACGAAAGGAAGCAACTCTTCATTCACCTTCCTAAATGGAAAAAACAAAAACCGCTCCACGCGACAAAGCCTCTGAAGGACGTCAATAATACAAGTATAAAATGGCAGCGATAGAAAGGCAATCTCCCTACACAAACGCAACCTCAACAAGGAACTAACAGGCATCGTACAATGATATAAACCCAATGAGAAAACAGCATCTCCCTCCAAGAGCCCCCATCCGAAACGTGACAAAAAATATCGTCAAAGCCTCATTTTAAACATCAAACAAACCAATCCCACCCCGCGATTTTGGCAGTGTAGACCTACGTATTGGGTCATACCTCCCACACCACAGGTAACGAAAGAGCTCCTTATTTACTTCCTACGCAAACTTCCGGTTCAACGGAAAGGAATGCACAACATACCAAACCTTGGAAAAAATCTTAGTTAAGAATCAGCCCCCTCTGAAACAGAGACAACCTCCTCCCAGACAAACCCGAAATTAACGACAATACCCCACAAGAGACGTCTTCCCAGTTCTCCCACAAAGATAATGCATTCGACTGACACCACCTATGTCAAGACTCTTAATCGAAGCCACAACCTGAAACCAGGACCCACTCCCTCCCCCCCCCCCAAAGAAGGCTTAGAACACCAGGCACAAAGCCCCATCATACCAGATTTCTCCTGATTAATCACCGCCCCCGTCGCCCGATAAAATCGAGCCAGTACATCCTGTACCACCAGCACCAACGCCTCCGTGGAGACAAACACCAATGTGTCATTTGCATACCCCATATCAGAGACCAGCAAGACTTTCGGGAAAAGCGGCGGCACAAAAGAATGAATAGAACGGATTGCCAAATACAGAGATTCCCGAAACATAACAAACAGGACCAAAGAAAGGGGGCATCCCTGACGGACCAACCTCCCAACTGCAAAAGGTGCACTCAACATCCCATTAATACAGACACTACTCTGTCAACCTCTATACAGCATTCTAACCCAAGAGACAAACTTCAAACTTTGGCACCATCCTAACCTCTCCATCACCTGAAACACAAAACCCATATCCAACCAATCAAAACCTTAAAACCAATCTAAATTGATCATAGCCGACGGAACAACATTGTCTGAAAGAGAGTAAATCACATCCCGTAACAAATTATTGAGTGAACAATTGACCTACCTGGAACACCACAAAACTGCACAGGTGAAATACACTATCCCAAAACCAACTGAAGCCTATATGGCAACAACTTGGAAAGAATCTTATAGTCCTGGTTCAGGAGAGACAATGGTCTCCAATTCAATAGCAGTTGCACATCCCCCGATTTCGGAAGGAGTCGGATAATGCCAAAAGACTGCAACTCACTAAGTACACAATGCCGCAGACTATAATGTCTCCGTGGTGTAGTGGTAAGAAACTCGCCTGGCGTTCCGCGAGCGCTTTGTCATGGGTTCGTATCCTGGCCGGGGAGGATTTACTGGGCGCAAATCCTTAACTGTAGCCTCTGTTTAACTCAACAGTAAAATGGGTACTTGGTTGTAAAAACGATTCTTTGTGGCGGAGATCGTATTCCAGGGACCTGCCCGAAACGCTATGCGTACTAATGGCTGTACAAGAATGTAACAACTCTTGTATATATCTAAAAAAAAAAAGAAATATAACGCAGCACCTCCGAGAAGTCCGATCTAATCACCCTCAATAAGCAAATATAAAATTCTGCTGGCAACCCATCAGACCCGGGAGCCTTCCCAGATGGTAAACTCCGAACAGTCTCCCAAATCTTCTGATCTGAAAATTCACACAGTAAAAGGCACATTGTCCTCATCAGACAAAACATTTTGGTAAAAGTGAAGAAAATAATGACCATAAACCGAGATGCACTCCACCTTCAGATACAAACCCTCTAACTCATCCCGAACATAACACACCAACCTATCCGTACTGGTGAGGACCGTACCATCCACTCTATGAATACTGGTCATCTTGGTAGAGCACTGAGCAGACTTTACTTTACCTAATAAGTGCGCAAATGCTCTCTCACCATATAAACAAACAGTCGTCATTAGACGGACATGATACAATGAGCCACCTCCTTCCATAACCCATTTATCTGCCTCTTCAATAATATTACCTCATCAAATCTATCCAGCCCGCGGTCCAAGAGCTCATAAAGCTGATGCAAGCGAGCTTGCAACAAGTTCAAAAGACCATAATGTCTTTTGAACTATGGTCAAAA